ATGCGTGAAGTATTCGTGCAGTCTTGTAGGCGCTAATATGTGTTACATGCCAATCGCCGCGCCGAGGGTTTCTCCTTTTTCATCTCAAGTCCTCGCTATCATTTCTCTCTAAGTCGCGCCGTTCCAGGCCAAATTGCGTGTTTGGTCTCTCTCTTAACTCGACTTATTGAATCACTAAGAGACGACAAAATTAGAAATGAATATACTCTCAGGAAATGAGAGATTTTGTCGCCTTTCCTTGTTTGTAATTTTGTTTTTATAAATCCGATTTTTTTATACCTACACAAAAAAAAATTTTACCGCCCCTTAGATTTGCCGCCATGGGCCAGGGCCTATGTGGCCACCCCCTTGATCCAGCCCTGACCTTAACTATCCATCGGAGTCACATCCGAGACGATTGCCTGTTTAGACCGAAACGCGTCAGTTTTTAACGAAAAAATCCGACTATATAGAATGCTTTTAATATTTTTGATAATTTCATTATTTGAAACTTTCTGTAAATATTACGAAACGAATGAGTGAATAAATGAAATAAATTTACCAAAAATTTCAAGAAGAACTATTGGTTAGTTCGTTTTAAAATATAATATAATTACAACGTTACAATCGCGTTTTTCGACTCCAGCCACCGATGTTCAACTACATCCTCACAGTAACACCGAAACCATTCCGTCATCCTCATGTCAACGGAAGAGATCGACGCCGCGCCACCGGGCGTATAATTAGTCCCTATTAAAAATTATTTAAAGCAATTATGGGCACCGGGAGAAATTTTTCATCCCCGTGCTTTCTCAACGGGCAGATGGACCCCATCACGGGGCGCCGAAATGGGAAAAGTGTGCCGGAGATGAGCTCGAAAATAAACTGAAAACGGAACCGAAGCGTTAAAAATAAATAATTCGAAGGAGCGCGATATGTATTCGATGATAAATACAAGATGCGGAAGCTCGTCACGAGGAGGGTGGCGGTTAATGATTTCTCGGGTGATCGCTAGGGGGTGAGAGAGGTAACCATAGCTACCAGCGGGCGCCACCCCCGCCCCCTCTCCCCCGTCTCGCTCCGCGTCGCGGCGCCTACACCCTTAGTTAAACCCGCGTAACACTGCGTGGGAACTCGCGGGATATAGGAGGTTTTTGGCGGGGTAAGGCTGTTTTAATGACCCTTAAACTTGACAATCCACCGCCATTTTCTCTCGGTGTGAGGTTCGGTTCCAGTTTTCCGGCAATCGACCATGTTTATTTTCAAGTCGAGACGAGAGACACGGCGCTTCCTCGTTTGTATTTATTATTAAGTTTTCGCGACGAGGGGGCAGGTAAGAAGTTTCGTTCGAGTAAGGTTTTTATTATTTCTTTCTTTCGGATTTTGTCTTGTTCTGTAATAAGGAAACGTGAAAAATGATCGATTGTGCATGAAAGGGAGTCTGAATGGGTGGAGGGAAACGCACAACTTTGAGGGTCGTTTTCTTCTGAAGGGACAAAAGTTTTGCAGTACTTTTTATTTCTTATAATTTTCATTTATTTTTTTCCTCCGAGGATCCACTAACAAGATGGCGGGGCTCAAGCCCCCCCCCCTCCCCCGAAAGCAAAAAAGGAGGAAGATAATGAAGAAAAGAAGAGATAGAAAATGAGAAAATAGGAAGTTTGAAATTTTAAAATGAGTTCAAATATAGTTAATATTTCTAAAATTTCTAAATCAATTTGCCACGGAAAAAAAATCTCAGGGGCTATCTCCTAAAATTGAGATACTACCCCAATTTGTTGGATGATATGAGCATTTCTAATTAATTGTATTAGTACCGCAACTCAAGTTAGGGTAGTACCGCAACATTTGAGTTAGTTACCTAATTTATTGGGGTACTACCATAATTAATTGGGGAAAAAAAATGGACGATATGGACATTTCCAATAACTTGTGGTAGTAACCACAAGTTATTGGAAATGTCCATATCGTCTAACAACTTCGCGTTTTTTCTCCCGTGTGGAATTAAAATATCTGATTTAGTTTAGAAACGACGTATGCACCGTTAGTTTCCATATGCAAGTTCATGAGGATGAGCTGTATACAAAATGTAGGGAAAATGATGCTTGAAACCTGTAGATTAGCAAAAAATGACGACGCACCCACCCACAAACCTACATTCTATGGGTTTAGACAGGAAAATTAGACAAAATATTGGAAGTTTCGGCGAAGTTTTCATACCTATTAAAAAATATTCACAGACAATTTCAAGGGAATGCTTTGCATTTTCGTCTTATACGTATACAGGACATAATCGGGGGATTTTTTAATGTTGTAAATGGGATATGCATGTTCGTATTTTAGCCATACGTATAAGTATTGGACGTACCTGTGGATAGATTATGAAATTGGGTTTGATTATGACCTAGGATGGTGGAAAGTTTTAATGAGCTAAATATTTGCCACCAAATAAAATAAACGGAGAGTTTTACTTTACAAGGGGAATAGTATGATTTTTTTTTAACAAGAATTACAGGGCTTCTGGTTAATTTATTCCTCCTTTCTTGGAAGGTGTAAAGGGAGGGGGTTAAGGCATCCCAAAGTTAGAGGAGAGGAAATGCACTTCATAAAAAAAGGGGGAAAACATTTTTTTTTCGATGTATGAAGATTGAATTCAACTGCGAAGTCCTAGCATTTCCCGATCATTAACATTTTGCAGACAACCCAAGCAGTGATGAGGCGTATAAGAATCGATTATCGATATTTCCCCATTCGAAGCTGTGATAAAGAATCGATTATTAAGGTGTTCGTTCCGAACACCCTGTTAATCGATCCTTTACTGAAGGTTTAAATGGCAGATCAATCAATAGATCGCAAAGCACGCCGCGCTACTGAACCCAAGCACATGCACCGGCTGAAAACTTTCTCGGATCTTGGACGTATTGACGGTTTTCCAAATTACACGCGGTTGCCTACCCAATTAGGACGTGGCTTGCAACGGGGCGGGTTGGAAGGGAGGATTCGAGCGTTGTTTTGAATTATTTCACGACGTCTTATTGACTCCTGCTTGCGTTCTCCAAAATAAATAGTTCTTACATGAGTTCCTCGAGGATCATTATTTTTAAAGCGGCGCCTCCGAGGTTCGGTTTCTTGGAAATTTCAGTGCTGAAAAGTTCGCTTCAGGCTGTTTCCTTCTTGAGTGAATGGTGTATACTGCCGTGCTAAGGAATAACGCCGTATGAACTTCCAGGCGTTGCCAAATTTCCTTTGATAAAACACGAATTTCCTGGTATATTTATGTATATTTATATTTCGATTTTTCAGATTATTTTTTACGCAATTTCACCTAAAATTTCTGAAAATTTCAAAGGAAAATGAAAATAACTTTCCTCAAAAATAAACATTTTATAGAAAGAAATGTGGCAACTCTCGAATGTTCTTACGACGTTCTTCCTTAGCATGGCAGTATAAGCCCTCACAATTCGTCGCCCTTCTGACATAAGGACGTATCTCAATTCCCGAATGAGCCCCAGAAGTCATGGATTCATATTTAAAACAGGGCTCACGTATATATTAAGTTACACCCTTACGTCAGAGGGGGACGAATTATACGTTATCCAGAGATATCGATGGCCAAAGTACGAAACCACGTACCTCCGTTTGTGACGCTGCAGTCTTCTCATCATACTTTATATTTTCTTCGGGAAGCTACACCGGAAAAAAAGAGAAGTTTATGTAACATTCTGGATGTGAAGAAGGTGTGCCTGAACTTACAAAATGCTGAATTAACATGCTTCAGCAATGTTAGGATGTAAAACTAACTGCTGTAGTGGGTAATTCAGTATTTTGTGAGTTCTCGCGCATTTTTTTAACATCCAGAATGTTAAATCAATTTCACTTTTTTTTCGGTGTTGTGAGAGTAATTTTTGAAAGCTTCCTTGGTTTTACCGGTTAGCAGAATTCTGTATGAATTTTAAGCTATAAAAAGTTGGCTTGGTCCTCCTCGAAAAATAGCAAGTAAGAGCGGAAATTTTGAAATATCGCAATGTAGATACAGGGTTTCGTACTTAAACCATCGAAATCTAGAGTTAAACTCTGAGAGTGCGGGAGCGCGTGTTCCATCGGTTTAATTTTTTTTCAACTTGTATAATCGATGAAGTTTTTTTCCAAAAGCGCCTCTCGGATAAGGTGTGCTTCACCCCAATTTTTCGTGGAAATCATCTTTTTTCTGAGTCTTGTCAGCGTATTGGACTCAAACTCATTAAAAATGGCTAGCCCCTTTAATTTTAAGCGCTGAATTCATCCATGGCCTCAGAAGTGGATCCAGCAATTTAGCAACGCCAGCTTTGCTCCTTTTAAAACTATTCAAAATAATCGAATCTTGTCGGAGTACCTGGCCCCTCTAAGAATCGATACATTCCGATATATTTAAACGGAGAAAAAAAAGTGTTGCCAATTCGCTGGATCCGCCAACGGCCTTAAAAATATCGATATCTCAAGTTTTATAGAGTACGTTGGGGAGTTTTGGATTTTTCAGGGCAAAACACTTAGAAAAATACCCTCATAACCCCCCTTCCCCTCCATAACTTGAGATATTGATATTTTTGAGGCCGCCGATGAATTTAGCGCTCAATTTTTCTTAGTTTTAATGGTAATTTGATCAGGCTTGATTAGTGAGTGTTTTAAATTTTAAAAATTTGTCCTAGGTCTTCTACATAGTTTCAATCTTTGTAAGTAGATCGGTCAGTTTTTTGTATCCTTAAGGACATAGGTACCAAAATTTCATTTTGGAGGAGACGAAAAATCTCGGTTTGAATGAAGTGAAAAGTTACTAAGCTAAAGAGAGCTTATCGTAGATAAGCCCTGACCATTTCTTAACGCTCGTCTTTTTGACCAACTATGGCTTTAACTGTTGACGTAAATCGATAAAATCCTTCTTTTCAACTAATTCCTTGAAATTCTTCTGTCTTGCTTATTTTTGTTCTTCAATTTCAAGAGTTCACACATTGTGAAGGCTCAGAATAAAATGACAACTACTGAAATTAAAGTTCAAATAATAATTGAAAATATTTATTATCGTGTATATCACAAGAGACATTTTCTATAATTTACAATCATATCTATAGCTCAGTTTGTACAAATTCTATCTAAAGAAAAGATTCCTTGGTATTTACAAGCATCCATCAAAGTTTAAGTGAAGTTAGTTCACTCAAAAAAACGAGCAACGTGGACTCGTATAATCAGCTAGAATCATTGTACAAATAAATACAGTTGAAATATTACATTTTTGATTTCAGAGAATAATTTACACCAATCGATCGAATTTTTAAAAATTCACAGTATTTTACATAATTAACTGACTTTAAAAATTGTCAGAGTTATAAATCACATTTAAAATAATTGCTATGAACAGGCTGGAAACTGATTCCAGGCCACTTTTATAGTACAATAAAATATTGGCATCTTTGGATTAAACAAACATGTCTTTGATGAGAGAAATAAAAACTTCACTTTTGTCAAAAGTTCAGATGTGATGTAGGGAGGCATAGTGCGCTGAAATTTCAAAAAAGGTTCCGCTCATAAATGAGGCTGTTTCAGAGTTCTACTGGTGATATCTCATTTTGTTAAATGATATCAAACAATGAAAGAGGAATTTTTACTAAGGAATGGCTATGTCGAGAAGTTCATGAAATAATTGGATTACATTTTGCAATAAGGCACCACTATCTCTGGCTCTTCTATAAAAGCACCTTTCTGCATAGGGAAACCAATCGAATTTATGTTGTTTTTAAAATGAGTCAAAAATAGTGGTTCCTTATTGCAAAATGTGGTCCAATTGATCCGTTTCAAGTGTGTATCATTTTTACCAATTCTATCGGATTTCTTAATTATACGTGCAAAATATTTGTAAGTATAAATTAAGAAGAACATTAGTCAAAACAAAATTACCAAAAAGAAACAAACGGCCCAGCGCTATCAAAATGGACTACTGTAAGACATTGAATATAAGTCAAATGCCTCTTTAGCAACATTTTGTTAAGGTTCAGAAAATATAAGTATGATATCAGAGGGTTATAATGAACTCGTCAGCTATTATATTTAAAATATGTAATTTTCGAGTGTGAAAACACTTTCCCCAGAAAATGGAAAAAGCCACAAAATGGAAAGAACAATTATGGGCGTCGGATGACAGGTGGGTTTTTTTCTATTGATGATAAAATTCCGGACAGCGGATTCATGCAATATGAGTTTTTCATCAGTGCATATTGGTTTTCGTCTGAGTACAGTCAAATCATAAAAACAAAAATTGCAAATAAATTTTAAAAGTAAGAAGTTCCTGGTAAGATTTTTTAATACAAAAAATATGTCGAGAGAAGTCAATATCTTTCTCATCGGTGGATGTTTATCAGCGTGTAATAGTGTGTCGTACAACTATACAAGAAATTCAACACGTCTCTCATTAGACATGCACTAAACCGTAGTTTTAAATAAAAAGTCAATAAATTAAAAAAAGCTCAATTACGAAAATCTGAGGTATAGTTGGATTTGTCTTGTGACACAAAGAGGCCATCGCTCAACTTGAAACGTCTTCACTTTATGCAAGACTGCAATGTTTGTGTTTTAAAGCATATTTCTGAGATCTGATCAAAAGTTGTTTAGTCCCTTCTTTAAGTCGAAACAGGATTTTACACACTTCTTCAAAAATATTTGACTTGTTTTTTTGTTTTTTTTTCGAATTCCTTATTCAACATTGATCTGAACCGACAATATTAGATTATTAATCACGGGATTCAATTTCTAAACTACTTTCTTTAAATATTAATAATCTGCTCAGCGTCCCTATTTTCTACTTCAGGAGATTTCTCCTTTGGAACTTTGAAATCGAATAAATTTTCATTCGATATGAGCTGTTAAGAGCTGCATTCGAGAGGAGAGGAACTCATATAATGCTGAGGTGACGACATCCCCGAAACATTGTGATGGTAAACTGTGTCTATTGCTGAGTTCGATGAATCGCTTTTGTCGCCAGATTTATTGCTACCTCCTTCTTGCTTCACCATCATCCGCCTCCATTTCGCTCTCGCGTTTTGGAACCATACCTGAAACAAAATCAAACAAAACTCGTAAATAAGAGCAAAAAAACAGAGCAATTTTAGAAAAAAAAGCAGGCAACTCAGGATTGTAATAGAGGAGTGAACAATAAAGATTAAGTCAGGAAATTGAGCCCTTGAGGTGAAAGCTGAAATTTTTCAGATCTACGAAAAAAGTTTCACCGTGGAATTATACTAGTCCTCAATATTGAACTAATATATTTCGACTGTGAAACTTTTTAGAAGGAAATTGGCAATAAGGCCTCCTTTATGATGAATGGAAGTGTACATTCCAATGAACCAATTATGAATACGATGTTTAAATTCCTTGTAGTTACGCAGCAGTCACTTCAAGCGAAACCAATTTAAAATTCTTGAGAATCTTTGAAAATTCCAAATAAATAAAATTAGACTCGAAGTGAATGGTTCCCAGTGTCAAAATTTGGTTTTTCGTCATCAGTGTGCAAAATAATGAAGACGCAATCGTGTAACGATCCATTCTTAAAATGCTCACGATCTTACAGAGATGAATGAATCCAATTGTTTAGCTCTCTCCAATAAGAGACGCAACTTTTTGGCACTAGATCTACTTTTACATCTACCGCAGATCACTTGCGCACATTAGAATCATTGTATCAGGTCTGAACGATGCTCAATGCTGAGTGTGGAAAAATTTCCCGAAATATCTTCAAACAATTTTTCTCAGTGAACTGTTAAAGTATTCAAAATCTGACAGAATAGTATTCCCTTGTGTAGAGAGAAACGCACTGTCTTTCAACTCTAATTTATCTTATATTTTTGGCCCAAGAAGTTCTCGCAACGAAGATTTTTTGGTCTGAAAAAATGTTTACGGAACTGTTAAATATTAACTGTGAACTGTTAATGTTACGGAAATGTTCAGTCTACTCAATCACGCATAAAGAAATTACCTATGAAAAATTTTAAATTGATTTAGCTGGCACCAGGGAGACAATTTTGACGTGAAATTAAGAATGTTGATTTAAAAGTTTATTCGGCAATTTAGCTTTTATCTCCAGAGGCATTGATAATTAAAAACGCATCTATAAATTGTAAATTTTAAATAGAATCAACACCGAGATTTTTTTTAAAACATTCTACAGTGTCACATCGGTGTCGATCAAATTTACATCAAATTTTTATCAACCCGCATCTGAATTCAACAAACTATCCGTAACGAGATGAATCTGACAACATTTTTCGCTTCTGAACGATCAGAGATATCCAAAGTTAGGTGGGCTTCAAATGGAGCAATACACTTGTTATGTACCCGAAATGTATTTTCTCCTTTCATTTTTTTTTTCGTCGCTCGTTGCGAAAAATTTCTTCACGTCAATTTTGCCGCGTTTTTCGAGTGCACCGTCCGCTTCCAGAAACTCGCCTCACCGAACCAAGACTGGCGGAGACACCCGACTCCTGGGGAGGCTAGCGGAAGCTCAAATTAAATTCGGTTAACCGTTCGAACGGTGAGACCAAAACTCTTATGCACGCCTAATTTGATGAACAAACACACCACAGTCCTACTGTCATAGAAATAAATATATAAATACACCTCTTTGTAAATTGACATCCAAGCGCCCCCCCCCCCCCCCCC